TCTCTCAACCTCCAGCAGCCTCTGAAATTCAATTAAGAAAGTACCTTCCTATGAACAATAGGAAGTAGGTGGTGTTTCAGATTCAATGGGTTTGATATTTTTCCCAAATACATGGTTGTATAAAATCAAGAGTGAAAGGATGAAATCAATGTATGAATATGCTCTTGAATATGTTATAGAGAAGATGCACAATGAACAACCACCCTTATTTTCGTGCATATGTTTGGATATTTATAGGAGAGGGTAATTAGGTTGAATGAGCCGAAAAAAAATACTTCAAAACAGCAAAAACGCACTGTAGCTCGAGCTAGAGCTAGAGCTCGGCAACATGCGGGTGACAGACTTACTGTTTTTGTTGCGCGATCGCCAACTAGGCGAGAAGCTAGCGAAAATGCGGCGCCGTGTTTGTCATCTTTTCATGCTCAAACCCTAAACCCCATAACCCACTATATGCAAATTGTACCCTAAGTGATTGACTTTTACAACACGTTACAAATTAGTCATTTTGTCTACATAATTGCCAACACTAAAAACCTAACAAACTCTCCATTTGGCATTCTGTGACAAAACTATAAAATAAGTCAAGGAAAACTAAATACAAAATCTAAACTATCCAAACTTCATCAAATTGATGTCTCTTGCATTCCTTGTTAAACCCGTTTCCTGAAATTCACAACTCAAATATCAGTGTGAAAGCACGTGATACAGGAAATAATAAAATAATTAAACACATGATACCAACACTAGCTAGATTGAGACGCAACACTAATGTTAATCCAAACACTAACAAAAACATTAGTATCACAAAAAATAAAAAACTCAAACAACTAGGTAAATGTGGTATGGAATGCAATGCAATGCAATCAACAAATTTCCCCTTACCAATCTAATTGACCTTAAAAAATTTTTAAAAATTAAAATTCTCCCATTCACAATATTTACTTTACTCTCCCCCTTTTTGTCACAAATGACGAAGTGACCGATAATTAAAACATCACAAAAATGCTTTACTCCCTTTTTTTAACATTAACATATAATAACTCAAAAATGTTGTTGTTAGCATGCACAAGTATAAGCAATGTACAGTAAACTTTCATATATACTTAGTTCAAGTTAACATTGAGTAAATTGTAAAAGTAACCCATGTGTGTAAAGTGTCACTAATTCTTTGTAGGTAGGACTCCAAACCTTAATTTTGTGAGAAATAACATGCTAAACATCATTGCCAATCAGTGTATTCCTCTATTTATGAAAGTCAAACCATTTAAAGTACATTAGAACCTATAAAGAAAAACTCATTGTGTAAGGATATTTTCTTTTTTTCTCCTAACATTGAGCAATATGTAAATATATATATATATA